CCGACCAAGTGTGCAAAGGGCACTGTCCTCCTGAAGCCACCCCCTTGGTTACTTCTGAAGTCCTAATGTCTCCTCTCTTCCTCCGTCCCTTTAATAAGTGCATTTAGCCGGGAGCAGAGCATTTCCTCTGTTCCTCCAGAGGGTGGAAAAGAGACAATTTCCTCACGCAAAATGAAAGCCTCCTCTGCATGTACTTAACACATTGTCTTTTTCACGTTGAGAAAAAAGAATACATTGGATCCTGCAGTTGGCGAGGCTCTGAGAAAAACTCTGTAACAATATTCATGTTGATTAAGTTTTTGTTCCTGAGCCGCTGTTGAAGCTCTGCTGGAGGAGTGTGGAGGCGAAGACAGTGGTCTTCTCAACGACGACCCCAGGCCACGGTCACGGAGTTTTCCTGGACGGAGACCCACTAACGGAATTAGGCGAGTCACGTGCTCTGCCCGACGGGCAAACGCCAAGAGAAAGCGTGGCAGACCTTGCGAAGAGACGCCAGTGGCACCTTTGCTTGCTTTGCTTTGACTTCAAATTGATTCTTTCATTGTAAAAAATAGTTTTAATACTTTAATCCTAATGTTCTTTTAATGTTTATTTTTTAATGGTTATTACTTTTTATCTAGAGCTAAAAAACCTCTGTTGTCTTAAAAATGTATTTAACCAATATGTAAACTTCGAAACCAATGAACCCTGAGTGCATTAGGAAGCAATAGTGAGAGCGATTAATATTTATTGAGCAGATCGCCGGATGGCACCCAGGTGGGCCATTCTCTTCTAGGACGCCGGCGGACCATGTCGGGCCTCATGTCTGCACATGCTAACCGGTCCACTAACGGCGTGAAAGATGGGTCCTCTGGGTGTCGGGGGAAAGGGAAGCAACCCGAGCCCAAGGGAGCAATCGACTCGATCGTCTTCACCCCCACGTGGTGCTGGGTCCGGGCACAGACTGCCTCCCTTCTGCTGTACGTTCCCGGGATCACCAACATAGACCTGACCACAGGCTGTGCCTTTAGCAAGCACGTCACACTTCTCCAGCGTTTGAGTAGTCATGATGCTTCTCAAATAGAAAATGCCAGAAACTTCTCCATGAAATCGCACTCTGTGTTCCCCTATATCCATTTTAGGACTGCCTTGCTCCTGTCTCACCTTCTATTTGGGTTTTCTTTGTATATATTATAATTCCTCGACTATTTACATGCTTTTTGACTTGAGCACTGCATCCAATAGGTCTCTTCACCTGGAACTTAACATGTGTCAGCAAAACGGGATTTTTAAAGAGAGAGCTCCATTTTAAATGCACTAGAGGGAGTTTCCTAGATATTGGAGGATTTAAATAAATCCTTTTACCTTCAGTAAAGCCTTTTATAAAGTGACAGAGGACATGAACCCCCTCCCCCTCCCTCCCAGCCCCCGACGGATACGTTTTATAAATGCAGGCTCTGTGTTTCATGCACCATGAGGTCGCAGCGATGCTCGGGGGTGCTGAGCGGGGCCCGCCTGCTCTGACGGCCTTTCCCCTGTGTCTCTCTGTCCCGTACAGAAGATCACATGTGAGTTCTATGAGGCTTCTCTCTCCACACACACTTCAAGTAACTAATTATTCTTAATCCTAACATGAAGGAGACAGCAGCAATACACATCAGACAACTGATTTAATAAATCCATTACTTCCCTAATTTTGGTGCTGCGCATTTTTAAAGCATTAATTTGATTTCCTCCACTGTTCAGTTTTGGTCTCAGTATAATTCTGAGATATCTTCCCGGGATTGTTCCGTATTTTAAATACCTTGTCTAGGGAAAAGCTAATTAGGCTTCCTCCTTCCTTTTCTCACCTCCCCTTGCAAACAGTAGTCCAAAAGGTGTCACGATGTAACAAAAACAAGAAGGAGATTTCATCCGTAGCATTTTACCCTGGGCGGCTCCGGAGACAACCCTCAGCAGGTGTTGCCCCAGGTAACTGTGCCCTGGAAGGGAGACCTGCTCTTCCTGGCCAGTGCCAGTCGCAGCTCCTGGTGGCTTCAGGTGTCCGCAGCAGACCCGTAAGAAATCAGTCCACGGGTGACTTCCGGTGAGCGGCTGTCGGGGATGTAAGACTTCACTGCTAGTTCATCGTACAGACCAGCCCTTAGAAGAAAATAACTGTCGGAAGAGTTCTTAAAAACCAGTTTCAAGGACTGAAAGAAAGTGCCCAAAGCAACCTTAAAAACAGAAAGGTGTTTTCAAGTCTGTATCCGAGCTGAACCCTCAGTATTTCTCTTTGGAAGGACTAGGACTTTCTCTGCTATCTGTATCTGAGAGTCTGAGTCAGACTCTGTCCCACGCCTGATTCTCCTGAAATTCATGACTCGTGGGTCAGAAAGTGGAGCAGTGGCCACAGAAGCTGCAAAGCTACCCTCCTGGCTGGAAGCCCGCGTCAAATATAATTGGTCGGATCTAGTTCTTCTACCAGAGGAGTTCTACTCGTAGAACCTGTGACACAGCATTTACTGAGCATCTAATGCCCACTGTGAAGTAGGAAGCAATCGTGTCTCATCTCCCTGGATCCCGGCAAGGACCGTTCCTGTTTCCAGCTGGAGACTGCACCCAACGCAGTATGCTTCCAAGCTGGGGAAGTGAGCCGCAGCAAGTCGCCCAGGTTCTGTGTCGGCTGTGGCATCTTTCAAACTTAAATTAGGTCGCGGCAGAGGCTCTGTGCACAGCACACCCGGGAGTGGCAGCCCTTTCCACAAGGTGCAGTGGCAGCTGCTGCACACGTGGCTGGGAGTTTCTGGCGAGACCTGCCGAGGAGCAGAAATGTCGCCGTGGGATGAAACAAACGTCCCTCTTTTCCTCGATCACTCTCCATGGAGCACTCAACTTTCTCAAGGCAAACTTGTTTTTTGAAGAAGCCACATCCGTGCATCTTTATCCTCTAGATCGAGTGCGGGCCCGACCGCCGGGTGCTGCAGGGAAGGTGAGGAAGCAGATGCTCACGCCGGCCATGCGGGAGCCACGGCGCACAGTGGCCATGCAGCCGGTGGCGCAGCCCCTCTGCCTGATGTCCCCATCTGGTGGCAGGGCAAACACAATGGTTTGTTTCAGACTGTTTTAAATACGTGGATTCACTTCAAAACGAGACTGTGTGTCCTGTGGCCTTGTCAGCTCTCAGAAACGGTCGACACCTGAGGAGGAGCCATCCAGCAAACCCAGGAACGGACCTTGTCTTTTGCTTGAATGAGTTTCTCAGCCGAGCTCCCTGGGGGGCGTCCGGCTCTTCCAAAAGGGAGCTTTCTTCTCCTTCCTGTGGAGGCCTTGATTGAGAGTTGGGGGAACTCGTGGTGTTCCCACACCCAACAGGATGGCCTTCCTTATCTGGGGACTGCCAGCTTAGTCCCTGTAAGGTCGCCTGCCATGCACCGAGAGCTCAGGCTGGACGAGCGCTGGCCCCTCGGGCTCAGGAGGGGCAGGTGCTCCGGTCTCCACTTCAGGGTGGGAGGCAGAGACCGGAAGGTCAGGGGACTTGGGAGGCCCCACCACTGGCCCATGGGGTAGCTCAGATCTTGGTCTCCCAGTCTGGGCAACTTACTGCCAGATTCTCAACACTTTGTGCTCCGTTTCCCTTCATGCAAATGCGGCATCTGGTCCAAATGGGTTCCAGGACTCCCAAACGTCCCTACCTGCTTTCTACCTGCCAGCAGCTGGGAACCCGGCCGCCCTCTCCAAGGCACTGTCCCGCCTCCTCACTATGCCTCCCTCCCTCCATGCAACCCGGGGACGGCCCTCCTGAGCGGTGCCCAGCTCGGCCAGCCCCCTGGGAAAACAGCGCCAGCTACTCAGCTGCTACCCAAATAAGCCGTAGAACCTAGGACTTCAAATACAGCCATAACCTCAGAAATTCTCCAGCTCGTTCTCCTGGGTCGATGGCTGAGGGTGCTGTGTGCATACTTGGGTTGTGACAGAAGTACCAGGGCTGGGAGCTCTCGTGACGGGCGGCCAGTCTGGGTCTCTCTTCCATGCCACCTGAGACTCACCCCTTCTGCCTGGTGTGGTCCGGGCTCAATGAGTGTGACCGCCCGCTCTCTGTGTGACCAGGGACAGGCCATTCAACCTGGACAGGCCTCCATTTCCTACAGCGGGGGTGGGAGTGGTTCGCATTCCACCAAGTTCCCGTAACGATGAGAGGAGATGCTGTGCTTTGAATGCTCCCATTCGGGGGTGGCGAGTGGGTCCCGGCCCACCTCAGGGCGAGCGCCTGCTCCCAGGTCCACAGCGTTCGCGTCATCGTCTTGGCAGACATGTCTTACCTCCCCTCTGAACCGTAAGAAGCTTTCGAGCTTGGGGTCCAGTCCTGTCCATTATCTGTCTACCAGGGGACCTAGCAAAATGGAAAAACAAGAACTCGTGTTGAATTAATGATAAGGTTAAAATTTTAAACACAAATAGTATTATTTCCATGAAACCCGAATGGCCTGACATGAGGTAGATGCTGTCTGTGGGAAGAGGGGTGTCTCGGTGAGACGACCAGCCGGACAACGTAGCCAGGGCATTCTCCCCTTTTCTTAACATTCGGAACACCCAATTTTAAAAGGCAGAGAACTCTGCATTTAAAAGCCAATATTAAGATGTATAAGATTAGTCGGTGTAACTTATTTCTCTAAATAAAAGAAAGTCCTATGCACCTGAAATTAAAGCGTATATGCTACTTTCTTGGATTTAAAACATTCTTTAAAACACCACCAAAGAAGAGAAGCAACAGTGAACGAAGCTTTAGTTTCTGGTGGCAACGGCTGGCTCTGCAAGTCTGGGTCTCACCACAGTTCTCCGAGCCCAGCTTTCTTGAATCAATGCTAATGAAAGCGCCTCACCATATTTTTCTCTATGAACCCTGAAATCGCAGCTGCCCGCCAGGTTGCCAAGGGGTGAGTTTGATCATTTCCAATTGGCCTCTTAGCCCAAAGGGAACCCGATGGTGGGAGCGCGGATTCTCACCTGTCTGCACTCAGCCCGATTTGTGTTTGTTGCAGGCGCTAAAGAGATTGATATCGCGGCAACGCTGGAGCACCTGAGGGACCAGAGACCAGGCATGGTCCAGACTAAGGTACTGTCAGCCGTCCCCGGGCACTGGAAGGTGTGGGAGGTGTCCTTCTGCCACTGTTTTCTCGAGAGGCGAGAGGGTGGACCAGGCGTGACTGGCCGTCTTACCCAGTCCTCCAGGCCAGGCCAGCTGGGCCCCTCCTGTGGGGGTGCTGGCGATTCCAGCAACAACCCCAACATGTCAACATGCATAGACACAGTCAGACCTCAGGTCTTTGGAACTCTCCGTTCTCCAGATTTGGGGAGGAGGAAGAACATTGCATTTTTGTAAAAAGAGGTCAGTGATAAACCCCAGCACCCTTGGGGGAATGTTCTGGATTCACTGAACATTCTACCCAGCCTCCCCTATTTCCGGGTCCCCCAACCACAGCTCTGCTGTGTGGTCATCAGGACAGTGGTCATCGGAATGTCCCCAGGGTGTACGGCGTCCCAGAGCACCCCTAAATAGCTTATGTGCATTCTCACTGAAAAGACCAAGTTTGCAACAACAGGGTAGAGACGAAGGTTACTGGTTAGCTTTGGGTAACCGGAAGTAGAGATGAGGTTGATATAAAACCCCTTCCCTTAGCGTTCTGGAAACATCTGTCCAAGGATGACAGCTCCCGCTTGTCTGTTCCATAAAAGTGCCTGAGTCATAAAATACAGAGTCTCTTTCTCAGTGAAGTCCCGACTCTCCAGATGCCGTTAGTGCTTCCACAAAGGACCTAAAATCGTTAGAAGATGCCCTTGCAAAATTACTTTATACTTCAGGGGACTTTAAGGTCTAGAAATTGCTCCCATGAAGTCAGGCTGACCGAGCGCCCGTGGATTGTGCTCTGGTGCCTGGCGATGACAATTCTGGAACCCCAGGCAAGTCATCCTGCCTCCCAGGGTCTTATTGTTCCCTGCTAAGGCGTGAGTGGTTCCTAAGCCCTCTCTGTCTGTCTGACTGTTACAGCGAGAAATTAAACAGTATAACACAGTGTTTGAGCCGGACGGGAGAGCGGACAGGCTAAGTCCCACTCATTCTCTTGAGAGTCAAGAAGCCAAGTGCCTTGTGAGGTTAAGCTGAGCACATTTTGACCTGGAAGATCACCTATGAGAATACCTTAATAGAGCCATTTGGCTGGCTCTCCATTGCCAAAGTCACCCCCATGCATTGGGGCAAAACTAACTTAGTTCTTTCCTGTAGAATCACAAAACTATTCTAGAGAAAACCTCTGAAAGAGTCAAGAACTCTGGTCCAGGCTTGCCCTTTCCAGCTGGCCGTCACAGCTGCCCTGCTCTCTCTCTGACCACCACCCAAGGCACCAGCACCCGGGGGCGAGAGCCAGAGTTTGAAAGCCGCAGGGGCACCTCGAGCAGCCAACGGCTGTGTGCTTGGCCGCTCTGTCCCTTAGCTTTATTTTGGCATCTACAGCTTGCAGGATTGTCACGAGAATCTTAGGCGATTAACGTGAAAGTGTTTTGTAAGTCACGGCACACTTTATGTTTCCTTCGATTTTTTAATTTAAAATTTGCGATTTTCATTTTGAAGTTATTTTAGACCTGCAAAAACCTTGCAGAAATGATAAAAGTAACTCCCGCGTGCGCTTTGTCAGCTTCCCCGTGCTCGCAGCTCCCATAACCGCCGTGCAGTGTGGCAGGCTGGGAAGTCGGCATCGACGTGCTGCCATAACTCATGTACAGCCCTCGTGACATCTCACCCGTGTCCGCCCGGTGACCTTTCTCTGCAGCGGGGTCCCATTCAGGACCCCCACAAAAAGCATCCAGTCCTCACGCCTCCTCGTCTCCTCTAGTGGGACAGCTCATGGCTTGAGCCCTGGCCTGTTTGGTTTGGTTTCTGGGGACCATCTTGCTTGGCTCATCTGACATGGAAAGGGCAAGGCTTGGTTCCGGTTGTGCATCTTGGGCTGGAAGGTCCCGAGAGGAGACGTGCAGCCTCGGCGTGTGGCCTCACTGGCGAGGTGAGCCTTGAGCCCCAGTTCAGGGTGTATCCGCCAGGGGCCTCTGCTGGTGGGTTACTAGTGTGTCTTGGTGATCGGTAGCGTCCCTGGGGAGAACCTGAGACTGTGCACACCTGGGCGTTGTGCTTTGTCACGCTGTGACGCTGTCATGAGAGGAGGTGATGCTGTTCCAGCAGCACGTGACCTATAGGTTTTGTGCCTTGGGAAGGGCCGTCTGGCTAGACTGACTGACCGTGCCCCTGGTGGTGGCCTCATCAGGCCCAGAAAGGCAGGGTCGGTTCACTATCCCTGGAGGGTCTGGGCCCCCTGTGGCCACCAGCAGCCCCGGAGCTACGGGCTCAGAAGTGGGGCTGGGAGAGCTCTGCAACTGGGAGCAAAAAGCTCATTCTGCCTCAGGCCGAATCTTCATTCCTCAGTAAGATCTGCAGGAAATCTTACATTCAAACCAGCTTCTTCCCTCCTTGCATCTGGGCACCTCTCAGGCCTCTTCCACCCCTAGACGGCACAAGGAGCCCCAAAGCATGGACTGACCTCAGGACAGGTCTGGGCAAAATCATTGGAAAGGCACATCTTCTTGCAAAAACAGGAAAAAATTGCCTAACGTTGCAAAATCCGTTGAGCCGTCTGTTGTCTGCATCCTGTTTGCTAGAACAAGCCCTTCACAACACACGGCCCTGAGGCCCGAAAGGTTGGTCCCCAGGCTCTGCCTGAAAGAAGGATGAAGCTCCATTTATTATTGTGTGTCGTGTATTCCCTTATATCCTAATGTTTTAAGTGGCAAAATGACAGCACGTGCACATGGTAGCAGTTGGCCAGGACACGGGGCTGCAGCTATCTGGTGCTCCCAGGCCCCCGAGAGCTGGCCTCGCAGGTATCTTCCCGTTGGGTGGATGGTCCACAGGAATTTATCCTCTCCCTTGGGTTGGGACCTAAAAGTTGTCTTGATTCATGTGCGTAAACTCAGTTCCTGGAATTTCAAGGTATAAGAAATAGTTAACACATAAAAGCCTCCATTCTGTCTTAATTTATGACTGTTTTACCCAACGTTACTCCATGAAGCTGAGCTTCCTCCTAAAGTTCAGTTTTTTAAAAGATAGAAAATTTCCTTGGGCAAAATCATGCTGTACAACCTGAATACTCCTCACACCAGCCCAGAGAAGGTCGTCTCCAGTCTGTTCATTTGAACAGGTGTAGTCAAGTTGCGTCGTTGAGCTGAATACAAGGAAGGAGCAATCGATCAAGAAATGGTGAGCCGGTTGAGACCAGAGCCGAGGATGGCGACGGACCCCCCCACGCCCAGGACCCAGCCTGACAGCAAAACTTCATCTTTATGTTTAAAAAAAGTCACAGACAGCTGTTTTCCACCCTGGAGACAAACGCTCAGTCAAACAAACCCAGGTACCTACTGGACACCAGCTTGAGCAAAGAGCGGGGACCGTCCCCAACCACTGACGCGGCGTCAGCCTGGAAGACGGGACCCAGACCCCAGGGCTCAGTCAGCCGCCACAAAAACCTTCAAACCAACAAGACATGGACAGAAGGAGATGTCACATGTCGGTGCGTGAAATTGTCCACACGGTCCTTCACTGTGCGTTCCTAACAGGCACAACCTAACACTTATTTCTAGGAAGGGAGATGGAATCCCGGGATGTGCTACAGTAACAGACTTCGGAAGACGAGTGGCCGTCTCCTCCACGACGTATGTCTCGTAAACAGACTCCTTCCTTCCTGCCTGCCTTCCGCCCCTCAGTGTGTCTGTGACAGGCCCCTCTGTCACCAAAGGCCGTAACCCTTTCCCTTCCGGAGAAAGCTCCTGTCACACTGGTCACTCGGAAGGAAGAGCCACATGACGATGTCAACTGCCTGGAAGTTACCATGTCTCGTTGCCACGTGGCCATGCACGGTGTCCACACGTGGTTCCACGGGCCACCTTCCTCCCCCTGTCTCCACACGTCCCCGGTCGCCTTCCTCCTGGAACGGGGCCTCTGTGGCAGCCGTGTTCCTGTCTCCCCGGCCTCAGGAGGTGCCTGAGTCAACACACTGACTGGATTGCATGTGATCCAGCTCCTACCCAAGGACCACGCTCGACCACGTCCTGCTCGCTCGCCAGAGCCCTCCCCAAGCCTGGGAAGTTGTCCTTGAGGTCTCTGTCTCTGCCTCTCCCTCAGCCCTGCACACATGTGCACACACGCACACACGTGCACACACACTGCCTGCACCCTCTCCCTCGCCAGCTCCAGGTCAGAGGTCAGGGATGGAGCCAGGCTGCTCTGCTCGGGGAGGAGGGCCTTTCTGTCCTGACCCTTTCCAAGGGAGATGCTGGGAAGCCCCGCCCCCAGAGGTCGTTTGTGCTCCTGGAGGGTCACAGCCGCTGAGACAGCGTTCTCTGAGGCCCCTTTAAAACTGGGAATGTGGACTGTCACTGCAGGAGCTCTCAGTGTGTGTACCCACAGCCCTTTGTGTGGGCCACAGGATCACAAATATCAGTCTGAGTGTAACTAAGTCCAAACACGAGCAGCCCCGCAGCCCCGGGCACTTCTATCTGACCTGCACAGCCCTGTGTGAGACTCAAAGAGGTTCAGGAACCTGCCCCAGGCCACACAGCTTTCTACACAGAGCTGAGTCCAATCCACTTCTCCTGCCTCCGAGTCCCACGCCCTTTGAATGTGCCTGATGACTGAACTGGGTGGTTAGGACACCAGGTAGCCCGCCCTGTGTCATAGATGCAAAGCTGTGATATTTGAGACCCCGCAGCCTGCGGACTGGCAGCGCCCCGAGTCATTCACCCTCTCCTCGGTTTGGGTTGGTCTGTGGGAGGCCCGGGCAGCACCGACCAAAGTTGGTGAAGGGCTTCATGTCTCAGCCCCACACAAGGTCTGCCCCGCCACCCTCCAGTCCGCCCCAAGGACCTGCTGGCATGCATGTCCTTCTGTTGTCACGTCCAGCCTGGAAAGGTCCGTCCCTGCTTACTGTCCCTGTTCAGCGTGGACATGGAGCCAGGGCCGGACCCTCACTCAGCCCGACCCCACGGGCATGCTGCGTCGGCCGCTCCTCACGCTGCCGGGCAGGGAGACCAGGCGGGACGGCGTAAACCAGGAGGGTGCGAGTCCTTACCGCTCAGACGACGCCCGCCCTGAGACTGATCTGGACAGGTGGTGACTTTGTTGTTTACTGTATCTTATTCCTTACATATGGCTTACGCCTGTTGTTTTCATGGTTTCCTTAAATTGAATTTCTATCACAAAAGGACTTCAGGTGCTGGGCACTTCCCAGCTTGTGTGCTGGATTCTGTCCCCGACTTCTGGGGTCCGATCCAGCTGTATTAGCTAAGGCCGGGCAACTCAAAATGGGGGTCTGCACATGGTCACCATTGTGATGGGTGAGTAGGTGACACCAGCACCACCACCCTGCCGACACATCGAGGTGAAGGAGCAAGTCCCTGTCTCATCGCGGCCGGCCTGAGGGTCCCCATCACAGGAAGCCCGCTCTCCTTCCACTGATGTCTCAGAGCCACCTCCCCATCACAGAGCCCAGCGGGGAGCCACTGGTGTCACCCCTGCTGTCCTCTCTTCAGGGCCACACGGTCTGTGCTGTGACAGTTTACACGACACCAGCTATCACGTGTTCCACGTCCCCTTCCCACTGTTTGTCCTATGGACACAGAGTCCAAATGACTATAATCGTGACACAGGTGCAGCTCTGCGTTCTGCTCTCGTCACTTAATGTTGTAGCATGGACGGTGGCTTTCCCGTCAGACACTTTCCTGTAACATTCTGTGCTTCCCTCTGGTATCCAGTGTTTCCAGGGTCTCACCACACAAGTGAGGCTGCACTTCTTCCTGCTCGTCTGTTTTTCCTTTGAAGATCATTTCTTAGGATGGATTTCCAGTGTGTCAAAAGACATAAACAGGCATGTGACAGGTAAAATTAGATTCCCAACGAGTCTCCCTTCATTTTTTCTCATTTCCGAATCATCTCGAAACCTCGGTCCACCCGTTGATAAGTCAGCGTTTTGAGAAGAAATGGTCTGGTGTGGCTGTTCATGCGAAAGAGACCCGGGTCCTCCCCTGACGCGTTCTGCTGAGCAGACTCTTGGCTTGAGAGACTCGGCGGACGGGACAGGGAGCCGTTGACGCACGTGAGGGGAAAGCAGTGTGAGGGGGGCTGGACCGCTAGGATGCGCCTCGGCAGCTCCCACCCCAAGGCGGTCACCACACGCAGCGTGGGAGCGCCCTGCCTCTCCTTGGTAACGCCTAGGAATTCTTCTAGAATCTCCATCAGCAGCACGTGACCAGCATCACAGGCTCCCTACTGTACGCAGCAGACCGTCCCCTCAGCATCGGGTCCAGGGGATCCTCAGGGAGAAGCGGTCTTGTCCCAGAGCGAGCATTACGTCACGCTGACTTTCTGCTGTTTTGATGGAGCTGTTTTCTACGTCTCTGTTACGTACTGGGCATTCGAAGTGGAAAGTGATCGTTGATTTTGGATTTGCAGTTACCCTATGTGTTGATTGAATCAGGAAGCATCTGAGCCACAGGGCTTTCCTTAATCAAAAATTCTTAACTAGGCGATCGTTCGAGTAATTTGCTGTTTTCCCTGACCCCTCTGGTATCTTGGAAAGTGCCTGTTGGCCGACTTTAGGGTTCTTAACGCAGCATTTCGAGGCATTTATGTGGAAACTGAAGAGCGCAGGAAGAGGTGTGTTTTGCTTTTTGTCTGCTAAGGCCTGGACGGGAAGGGAGTGAATAGTCCTGGATATGCCTCATTTCTACCTAATAGTCTGGCGGGATTTACACGTGAGAGTGGTGTATCCCTTCTGTCTGTGAGCACGTGTGTGCGTGCACACGTCTGAAGTTGGGTCGAGTCGTGGATGACATGAGGTGTCCCGGCAAGTGGGACAGAGCTGGATCGGGCCGGATAGTGGGTTGATTTCCGCAGCAGTGGGAACCCTCCCCTTCCACATTTCTGGGGAGAGGAAAACCCCGAGTGGGTTTTTCATGGTGACTGTTTTCATGGCAAGTCTGTGCTCAGCCGGAGTGGTGGCTAGAGTTGAGGGGGGCAATGTCTGCGTCAAATGCCCTCTGTCCACTGAGGGATTTGCACATTCAGTGCTGGAATCAGAGGGAATGGGCAGGGCGCGTGGGGCCTCACCCAGCCAGCTTCCTGCTCGCTGTTTCTGTTGGCAGCTTCTCCCAGTGATAAAAGGTGAGACTTTCCAGGGCCGCCCCATGGCCAAGTGGTTAGGTTTGGTGCACTCTGCTTCAGCGGCCCAGGTTCATTTCCTGGGCATGGACCTACACCACTCACTGGCGGCTATGCTGTGGAGGCATCCCACACACAAAATAGAGGAAGATGGGCTCAGATGTTAGCTCAGGGTGAATCTTCCTCAGCAAAAAAAAAAAAAAAAAAAAAGAGACAGAGAAAATTTCCAATACAAGAAATCCTGGTGAGCGTCAGCATTGGGTCTTACCATGTTCTCCCCTTTCCACGGAAATCTGCAACCTTTCTTTTTTTTTTCCTAAACAATTTCTTTCTGCAAAGTAACACCCAAGAGCTCACGGCTGGAGCAGAGACGCAGCTCCCACTCACACTTCTCCCCTTGCTTTTTCTTCCAGGAGCAGTTTGAGTTCGCGCTGACGGCGGTGGCCGAGGAGGTGAACGCCATTCTCAAGGCCCTTCCCCAGTGAGCCGCTCGCTCCCGCAGCCGCGGACGAGCCCCTGACCCCCGGAATATTGTTGGGAATCATGATATCACTTAATTGTGTGTCTTCTAGTGTAACTACCTAGTGATAGGGTCCTTGAAATCCTGTAGTCAGTGCCGGTTAGCAGTCAAAATGTGTATTTTTGTTCAACCAATTAATAATAAAGAGAGGTTTATGGAAACATCCAATTACAGGGGGCAACCAGTTCATCTATTTTCACTTTCTTGAAAAAAATTAATTTTCCTTAAAGCCCATTCACACTCCTAACTGCAAACATGTCGTATTAATGATGCGGTAATTCGCCCACTCGTCATGGTCTCCAGGAAGAGAGCTGGTTCGTTATCTGTAACTTTCTGAAGGATGGATCAGCCGGGCAGGGAGGGCATCCAGGGAAACGCACGAGGCACTAAACGCAGGCCGCCAGGTGCAGAGAACACATTTGGCATTTGTCTTTCAGACGGTTTATCACCAGGAGAAACCACTGGCTTACCAAAGAGTTAGGTCAGAAGCCTTGTAACATTCTGCAGCTTTGGGGCAAATGAGAAGAAAGCGGTCACAGCATATCAGTTCTGTTCTTATCTGGGCTGCTCGACACCCTCCCCCAAGTGCTGTCGAGAGACCACCTCAACCTTCCACCCCGCAAGGATGGGCAGGGGCCTCCCCAGGGGCAAACGCTCTCCCACTTGGAGAGCGCCTGCTTCCGTGGCCAGCCACCCCAGGCGACCCTTCACCTGGGCAAGGTTGTGGGTGAGCCCCGACCTCAAGACAGGTTTTCCACTTTAAAATGATTTACGTACTGCAAAAACAGGTACAGCTAATGATGGCTTCCTGCTGGATGACCACAGTGAGGGGAACAAATCCGGGCACATCGGCAGGCTCCATCAGGCACCTGTGTCCCCTCAGGGACTGTCGTGGGCCTGCTGGCATCCAGAGAGACCACGGCTACTTCCCTCTGTTCCTAGAAGGGGGGACATGCAGGGAGAGCCACGGTTTGTGCTTTATCGGCGTGAGGTCGCAGCACCTGGGAGAACGATAGGAGATGCAGGCATGGCCTGGGCCTCCGCCCGCTGCAGACTCCTGGTCACTCAGGTCAGCCAGGTGTCCAGCCGCACATAGACATAGCGTCTAGAGATGACCTGGATTTGCCAAAATAACACTTGAGCATCAGGCTTGCCGCCGCCCCCCAGAGACAGAAGAATCATCTCATTAAGCTTAGAGCGATTGTGTCTAGACGGGTGCAGACGGCTCGTGTGCTGCAGCCCTCCTTTCAGGGTTAGCCATAAAGACATCGCCAGTACCTTCTCGGTCCTGCTGTGTCGCACACCATCCTCTCCATCCTAAATCCATGCAACGTCTCGAAACCAGTAGAATAGGGAGAGTGGCCTGCTGAATGGGCAGAAAGTGCCAAAATGTTGTTCATGTCTTTCAATGGTATTGTCATGTGTATCTGCTCTAATCTATCTATGATTTCCTTCCTGAAGTTGTTTCTCTGGAATCTGAATAATTAATAGAGAATAATTTATCTGCATATAGAGAGCACATACCTACTTGTGATTTCTAACTTCTTATGTTTCAAAAGGAATCTTCCAGTGTGAGATATATAAATAGATTTCATTGTGTCAGATTAAACTTTTGATTTCATGTGTGAATAGTCTTCATTTGGGAGGAGCGAGCGATTTTTTCCTATCTGTCCTTGTGTCTCCTGAAGGTGTGGGCGTTTAGATTGCGAAAACAAAGTGTGAGCATTTCTTAGAACTGTAATTTCACTGCTATTTTATCTGCAGAGTTAGATGTGTACTAAGGGCCAGACGTTGCTGAGATTTTATTTGTTAAAAAGAGATTAAAGAGCCAGCCCTGATGGCCTAGTGGTTAAGGTTTGGTGCCCTCACTGCTTCCGTGGCCCGGGTTCATTTCTAGTTGCAGAACCACACCACTCGTCTGTCAGTAGCCATGCTGTGGCAGCGGCTCACACAGAAGAACTAGAAGGACTTACAACTAAGATATATGGAACCATGCACTGGGGCTTTGGGAAAAAAAAAAAAAAGAGGAAGGTTGGCAACAGATGTTAGGTCAGGGCGAATTCTTCCCTGAAAAAAGTGTTTAAAAAAAGAGATTAACCATCTTGGTGAAGAGTTGCAGGTGTTGTCTATGCTGTGAGCATCACCTGAACCTTCTTCTCATGCATGTGTCTGCCAGGTTTGAGGCCCAGGGACCATGCGGACGTGACCTCTTCCTTCCCCACCTTCCCTCGTCAAGCAGGTTCCACCACCTCTTGGAGGAGCACCCCTTCTCCACAGCCTCAAAACTGGCTACACGGTGGCACACCCCTGACAGGAGAGCATGCTGGGGGCGTCCCACCCGCAGCCAGAGGGAACACAATCTTGGCTGTGACACCGCGCTCCTCTCTTCCTGGAACGGTCCTCTTCAGCTGGTGATTGTGAGAGGAAGGCCCATGGAGTCGGCTTATGGCAAAATCAGATAATTCCTAAACAGCACCCACCCATTTGAGGGTTTGATGTCCGTCAAAATGTTGGTGTTCGTTTCTCAAGAAATCGGCCCGTCGGTCTCAGCCGATGGACGTCCAGTTACGTCCTGTTAGTGCTGCCACCTTCCCTGAATCTCCTTGCCCCAGTTTGCTTCATGCTGGAATCCTACCTAAGCATCCATGAACCGTCTGCTTTTGTGTGTCATAAAAAGCTACGATGCTGCACGTATGACGATGGGTAAAGCCTCTCATGAGAAACACGTCGGAATTTGCACATGGCCATCTGAAGATTCCCCTCCCGCCGTGAATATGCAAGAAAGCTGGACAAAATGTACTTTACAAACCCAGTGTGCAGCCAAGTTCTAAAGAAAGACAATGAAGGGGGAGCTTGAGGTCAGTGTGGGCGGAGTGGGCTGGGGGCCGGATTCCAAGCACATCCATGCGGAGCGAGCGTAGACGGCCCCAGGGCAGTGGTGTGCTGGGAAAAGGCTAACAACCAGCTCTCTGAGAAAAGAGACACACAGAGATGCACTTAGTTTATTACGCCATCTGCACACAACCAGCACATAATAATAACACAACGAGTCCTCCATTGTCTATGCCACGTAGCCAAGTGATCTCCCAGAATGCTCGCTCTGGTTTTTCTGGAACTCTTGTGTCCGTCGCCAACCTGTGATGGCATTTGGGGAACAAATGTAGCTCCAATGTGAACATTGGTTGGTGTGTCATTTACCTTAACAGGTAAGAGAGGACAACGAAGACGTAGGTGGGCCCAGCAGGGCACGAGCAGCTTCTGTGCCGAGTCAGGTCGTAGCTTCTGAATACGGGAGGAGCGTGTCCTCGCCTTCTCTGTGCAGTTCTCCGTGTAAAGCCTATACACACCGCACACTTTTCAGTCTAATCAGCGTTCTTAATGTCTTCCCATCACTCTCAAAAGTCTAGACGATTGACAAAACAGAAGATGAAGCCCTGATTTGTCCTGTGTGCTGATTTCTGTGATGTAAATACACTGACGATGAACGACTTCAGATGGGAAGGAACGTGAGGGGGCCCACCGTGATTCTAGTAGAAGGCAATGGTTACTAGAGATCAGAGTAAAATGGAGTCGAAATAATTAGGATGTGATTTGTTTTGAGTATTTATTACCTGTGTATTAATATAATTTGTCAGTTAATATAATTTTTAATAGTGGCTGTATTTAAAACCAGCTCATAAAATTCCTAACACTGTAACAATCTGCTCCTGTGGCACACCCTGACCTCGGAGCCACACAGGAGGGAGGGTTTGGGGGACCCCCACCCTGTCCATCTGGGCTGCAGGAGGCGGGGGTGTTGTTCACCCGCCCACATCGCACAGGAAATCCAAGCTGCATACTTTGGGTGAAAATGTGATGTGAGCCCAGTGGAACCCTCAGGGCCCAACATCAGTGAAGGCAAAACCACTCAGCATGGAGCCTCCACAGCTCCCAGAAAAGATGCCCCAGGAAGATTAGCTCTTAATAAAAATGGACCACGCTGGGGGAGAGTCATCTGAGGCACGAAGATGCAGAAAATACAGCAACATGAAAAGGTGGTGAACCAAGTTCAGACATTTTAAATGGCACGTAAGGAGAGCAGCATGAAAAAAAGAACAAGTGGATTTGAAAAGAGCCCAGCAAAACTTTAGAAATGACACCCAAAGGGAATGATTATTTGGAAATTATGAAACGCACAGTCACGTGATACAAGCGGACGTTAAGAACTCCGAGGCTGGGTGAGATGGGAGATTGGGAACAGCTGAGAGCTTGAAGAGTAAACCGGAGCAGAGGGCTGATGACCACGCATGAAACCAAAGTGTGCGAGGAAGTTACGAAGTATGGTGAGCAGAGCGAGCGGTTCATAAGAAGAGGGGTGCCAAGGCGTCCCGAGACTCCGGTCTCTCCAATGGGACAGGTGCGCTGACTTAGCACTTGGTGCTGCTGTCTCGAGCTCGTCCTGGCCAGAACAGCTCTGAGCTCAGCACGGATCCTGGCGCCAGGTTCCGGTTCTGAGTGGGCAGCAGGCACCTGTCCAAAGTTCTTATTATCAAGAGAAGACTTCCTTCTCGATTGGCGCCAGTGACCTGGGCTGTGCGTCCCCCGTGCGCCAGCTCCAGACCAGCAGGGCCCCCACCAGGAGGAGGGCTTTCTTCCCCTAGACATACCCAGTGCTCAGTGTGCACCCGGTGTACACCCTGCCTGGGGGAGGGCACAGAGGGGGCTTCGGTCCCTCGTCCCGAGGGGCTTTAAGATCAGTTAGAAAATACAGGCATTTGGGAGGCTAGAGAGAAATATGTGAAGTCACTCAGACCTGAATCCTCAGCAGGTGCCTACAAGCTCATCAATGAAGCAAGGAGGGGACGACCAGGGTGAGGCATGTCACCCACTTTACAGGAGGCGGGGCAGGAGCTAGCTCCCAGAGCAAAGGTGAGGCATGTCACCCACTTTACAGGAGGCGGGGCGGGAGCTAGCTCCCAGAGCAAAGGTGGGCAGGTTATGTGACGGCACCCAGGCTCGGAATTCACCCTGATGCTGGGCCATGGCACCAAGATGACCCACGCCCTCCCCCAGGTCCTCTCCCTGGGCACAGAGCACATCTTGGGGACGATTCTAACTATTCACCCTTTCAACATCACAGGGCCTAATCATCGAGCACTCCGGGGATGCGTTTTTATGACATTGTTGCTTGAGTGTACAGTAAAATAAATTGTGGCTAGATGTGTTCTTACAAAAAGAAAGGAAAGATCTACATGCTGCAATTCTACAACCTATGCAATCAAGAAATGCACAAGGCTTCTCTTAATATTGAGCCCGTAAGTCTGTGTTCTCAGAGCCTTGGAAGCAGCTTTATTGGAATTCTTTGAAAACTCACACGTCGGTGCTCACACACACGACACGCATGCCTGCTGGTAGGGAGTCTCATTAAACATGCCCACCCCTCCTGGGAGTTCTGGGCCCTCGTGTGTGAGGATGTTGGTGGCCATGGTCCCTGGGGCCAGCCCACAGCTGACCCCATTGTTGTCACACTCAACTCTGTTATCATCCTCCAACACCGCCCCCCACCCACCCACACACACACAATCAGCTACAAACCGACATCAGGAAGGAATTACCTTCCAGCACTGCAAACCTGCCCTCCAGCGTCACGTCACGGCTGGCTGAAGGGGCATCGGTGCTGGTACAAAATGTCCATCCTCCTCTGAAGTCCCCGAGATCCTGGGGAGCCAGTGCAGCCTTGTCCCCAGACCCCGAGTCCACTTACCACCCCGGCCTGTCGGTGGCTGAGGTCCCACAGCCGTGGTGTCAGCTCACTTGGGCGCAGCAGCCACCACCTGTGTCCCTCGCTGCTCAGTCCATGGCTGGCAGGACACCTGCCTCAAGTGTCCACACTTCAGGTCAAAGCTCTTCCTCATCCTCTGCCAACACCAGGCCCCCGGCGGAAGGCAGATGCAGGTCCCCTGGCCAGGCCCTGTGGTTTGAGTTGATGCTGTTAATGTATTTTACTGGGTAGAGTAAACTGACGGGGTGGGTCTTGGAAGCTTAATTTTTTCTTACAAAATTAACTTCTTCCTTTTAGAGAGCTGGTGTGATGCCCTCTGCCCTCGCAGCTGTCTCCTTTCTCTTGCTCCTGCTTTCGAATGTGTGCATGAACTGCCGAATTCATCCCACAGGGAAATGACGGCAATATTATATGTAATCTGTGTTGTGTGCTTTATTAATCAAGTAGAACACTAATAAAAAACCTTCATAATTAGTGGAATAGGCATTAATTCAAAGATGTTTATTGGAATAGAAAATTAGAATTTGATTATACCTTTGTTCTGAAACAATGGCTGGTTTTCATTTTATTCAGGGTGTTTGTTTAGAAACTGGTCTTAGACGAGCCATATGGTGAGTGTCATTTGCTTTTTAGTTGAGTTGATAAATACCGCTGTGGTCTTTGTGGACATGGGCGATCTCTCCATGTTCGATGCTCTAAGAAACCAGGACCGGGCCTCTCCGGGGAGAGAGGTGTGTGGCCGGCGCAGGGTCGCCCTGCTGGGCCGTGTCCGGGGATGGCAGGCGTGAGGGCGAAGGCCAGCTCTGCTCTTTCCAGCTCTTCTTGGGGCAGCAGGATGGTCCCAGGGCGGCAAGGGCCCACT